GTTGACACCATTTGAACGTGGAATGGATAGATCCTACACTGGAAAGCTGGCAATGTATGGAGAAGAAGTTCTTGGGTTTTTACGAACAGGTCTGAAAGCAGGACCCCGATGGCAGCACGGTGTTTGGCTTGGAAAAACAATGTCAGGTGATCAGCATATTGTTGGCACTGCGGATGGAGTGTTCATCACACGGAGCATCAGGCGCACACCGAATCCATTCAACTTGGATAGACTGGGTGATTTGGAAAGTTGGCCTTGGGAGTTTGGACATGCAGCTTTGGGCAACAGATTGGTTTACAGCAAGCGTGTGAGTCAGCCTCTTGCGTTTGGTGTGGGTTCAGGAATGCCCCCATCAATTGACATGGAAGCCATACACGTCCACAAGTATGCAGTTGAGCACCCAGAAGAGGACGTTGAGCAATCAGCAGAGGCGGGGGACATGCAATAACCTCCACCTAGCCTTCCAGTTGCAGCTTCCTCTACAACAACCGCAATGGATGTTTCTGCCGACCCACATGGCCAGAAACGTGCTGACGATGAGACGCCCGTAGAGTCTCCAAAGAGAACCAGATTTGCTGACAAGGGTTTTTCAATGCTGGAATCCACTTTTCTGACAGATGACACGCCTGTTGGCGAGAGTGCTCCAAAGACTCCAAAGCGTGACAATAGTCCAGACAAAGGTCATGTCAGTCAGGTCACCAGCACAGACTTGAGCTTATACGAACATGAAGACCAAGCAGTTTCCTTCACCTTCAAAGATGAAGAGCTGGATGAGTTGGAGACCTATGAAATGAACTTTGAAAATGACGAGCTCTACGATGATGGTGATTGGATGGATGATGAAGCGATTGTCAGCCAGTTGACTTTTCCTTTCAGCAAGTATGAACCTTCTTTGGACGATGCTGAGTTGCAGAGGTTGGATGCGCTGGCAGACTCTTTGGAAATCCAACGCCTTACGAAGATGGCAGTTCTGACTGATGCAGCAACAATGCCCCCAGACGCCAAGCAACTCTCTACAAGGTTTGTCAGAACTTGGCGTGAAAAGCTTAGCAAAGATGGAAAACAGATCTGGCTACGACGATCAAGATTCGTCGCCCGTGAATTTGCATGGATGGACAGTGAACGTGACAGTTTATTTTCACCTGCAAGCAGTTCAATTGTTGCAAGGTTGTTGCCCGTGATGTACCTGGATATGAAGCAGCACGCAGAAGCAGTCATGGCCAGCATCGATGTGAAAGATGCATTCCTCACTGTAAAACAGAAAACACCAACAGTGGTTACATGCAAACTTGCGGATGGCCGTGAAGTTCAGTATGGCTTAGGACGCGTTTTGCCAGGCCAAAGAGATGGAAGTCTTCTTTGGCACCAGGACATCACAAAGGTGCTTTGCGAGGAGCTTGGGATGAGCCAACATGTCCCTTATCCTTGCATTTTGAAAACAGCCGACAGCAGTTGCTTTGTGCTTATTCATGTGGACGACATTTTGGTCGTTGGACGTCGTGAATTTGTTTTACAGAAAATGGTGAAATGCCTGCAGCAGCGCTATGAGGTGTCCACACAACTCATGGAGAAACCAGGTGACGAAGTTAGCTTTTTGAAAAGGCGCATGACTTTGCAGCACGACGACAGGATCACCATAGAGACACACCACAAGCATGTTGATCAGATGTGCAGTTTGCTTGGGTTGAACCGGAAGCTTCAAAACAAGAAGTCGCCAGGGCACTCAGATATGGATCAGGTTGATACAACAAGTGAAGTTTCCCCAGCAGCTGCAAAGGCGTTCAGAACATGTGTTGGGATACTTTTGTATCTAGCAAGCGACTTGCCGCACTGCCAGCACATAGTGAGGCACTTGTCAACATACTCAACGCAGCCCACGGTGAAAAGCATGACAGTTTTGAAACACTTGGTTGGGTATTTGGCCTCACACGACAGCATATGCATGTCACTCAAATGGAAGGGAAGAACCACTGGCCTCTTTCATGGCTACACCACCTCCATTCCTGGCGAGAGCATCATGGAGATTTTTACGGACAGCGACTGGGCAAGTGACAGGACCAGTCGGCGTTCAGTCTCATGTGCCACAATATTCCTTGGAGGATGTCTTTTGTATTCATGTTCACGGACGCAAAAGTTGGTATCCCTTTCAAGTGCTGAAGCAGAAGTTTACGCTTGTTCTAGTGGCACTTCGGATGGTATCCTCTTGCGCAGGCTTGTTGAATGGTTGACAGGTTTCAAATGCAGCATCCACCTACACTGCGACAGTTCAGCTGCGAGAGGAATCATCCAACGCCAGGGCGTAGGACGAGTGAGGCATTTGTCCTGCAGAGTTTTATGGCTTCAAAGCCTTGTTGCTGATGGCACCATAAAGCTTGCATGTGTGGCCGGTGCATCGAACCCTGCAGATATAGGGACAAAGCGCTTGCCGTCCTCCAGACTGCGCTCGTTGATGAGCATGCTTGGAATGTTTGATATGACAACTGGTTTGGTTGAAGGAGCCGATGACCCAGGACGCATTTTCTCCAAGAAGCAAAACGTGCATGCGATACTGAGCGTCTTGAGCCTCCTGACCCTTAAAGGTTGCACTGAGGACAATGATGTGTCTTCAAGCCCCACAGTTGGTCTTTTGGTTTTCACACTTGTCCTTGGATTTTGTTTTACAGTTTTGTGGATGATGGTGAATGGTTTACAACAAAACCGACAAGCAGAGAACGAGCCCGATGCAGAGCCCAATGTCAGTGAAAACTTCGAGACAGAAGTCATGGACAATGCAGCATCTGCGATGTCCACAGCAGATGCAACTTCCACAATGCCTTCCAGCAGTTCTATGGCTGATACAGCCCTGACAGCAGAGAACTACGTGAGATGGCTGCTGCGACGATGTGCCAGAAGGAGAGATGAAACAAACGATGCAAATCGAAGGAGGTTGTATGAAGAAAGAGTTACAATTCTCCTTGGACTCCAAGCAGCCTTGAACTCACCACATGCCTCTTTCCGAAGTTCAGCCCGGAGAGCCCTTGGATCCATGACAGACATCAGCGACGATGAGAATTCTCCAAACTACGCAAGGATCAATGGACCAGCGAGTTTAGGTGAAGCTCAGAGAGCTCTTGCTTTCATTCATTCGCTACAAAGCGGCGCTTCAAGCAGCACAGGTTTCATCACCAATGTTGACATGGTCGCAAATGCCTTGGGAAGGAATGCAAACTTTCCTCCTTCTCCTACGTCTGAATCAGATGCTGACGAAACCCGATCTCAGGCCATGCAAAGGTATATGAGTTCGAGGAGAAGCGACGTTTCAGACCCAAGCTTGTGGAACTACCTTCACAATGGTGATGAAATTTCTGATGAGAGTGAAAGTAATGGAAGCAATGCAACATAGCAAAGCAATGGCTTGGTAAATGAAAACAGAAGTGGTTTCCTAGCCACCGGCGCTTGGAAACAGCTTGCAAGGCTTTAGCCAGGGGGTAACATGGATCCCTGTTAGCCTTTTGAAGGTCGACATTTACCTTGAGGAAATTAGAATGTTTCATGGTGTTGCGTCATGCAAGTCCTGAAAGGACATAGCAAGTACTGGCATCCTAAAAGGGACCCCAGCGGCAAAAACATGACCGCAACTTTTCCATAGAATTTTCAGTCTAGTGCGACACTAGCCAAAAGGCTGTGTCGAGGCGGGGTGCTTGTGATTTCCGTTTCATGCATCCCTGTTTACATACATGTTCAGTTAGATGTCATGTTGAGTTTTCATGTTGTGCAACACGCACAAATCGAGAAGTGCATTCCGAGACGCTTTTGCATCAAGCAAAACAATCAGATCCAGAGACAGATGGAAATGAGGGAACCAATGGACAGTCTGGCTTGGAGAGACTTCTACAAAATATGCGTGCACATCGAAATGTTGCACTGGCTAGCGAGAGGTGGCATGAAGCCAGTGAGATACAACATGCGATTGTGGCCGCATTGGACGTTCAGCCGCACCAGAAGGATTAACCATGGAGGTGACAAACCGAACCCGCAATGTTTTCCAGAGACTTTACAGGTACCACAGGAACAGAGGTCATGACGAAAGACGTGATCGTTTTAGACTGTATGTTGAAAACATGGATTGTTTGATGAGATGAGTTCAAAGGTGATTTACATAGCAATGCAGAAACAGAGAAGAGGTCTGGTTATGCGTTTGCAAGGGGCAACAATATGATGCCAATTAAGCTGAGCGCTCAATCGTCAAAAGAGGAGTGCGAAAAATTGTTCAGCCTACTCACATGGCACCATATGCACAAGGATGACACGAACAAATCAAGATGAGAGTTGCAGATGTCATTGCATTCTACTTCTCATGAAAACCATGAGTAAGTGATTTCACCGAGACCCCTTTTGGCACAAAATAAGAGCGGCGCTTACGGCCGTTTGTTCGCATGTTCAGAATTGAACTCGTCAATCCCAAATCGTTGATGTCAATTTCAATGAAACTTTATCACATTATATTCACACGCTCATATTTGATTCAAAGGATGTAGTCGGAAGGAACACAAAAAATTGTGTTTTCATCCTTCTTTTTCACCCATCCATATTCGTACGTCATCTTTACTCCTAATCAAGAGGAACCCAAGACGATCATGTTAAGCCGGCCGAGGTGCCATAGAGATACTCTGGTATGGCAAGCAAACAACGGACATGTGAAAAACGCATCCGTTTGAGCCAGCATTTGCCAATTGGAATTTACCACCCTTTTGCGAAAAAAAAAACATTCGCTGATCGTTTTGCAATTTCAGTCATGTCAGTGAAACCATTTTTTTACAACATTGAATTTGAACGTTTTTGGCGTAAATTTTGAATGCGTAGTCGCATGCGAGGTTTTTATTTTAAGTAACTCGGAAATCACTTTAAAAAAATCAATAGTCAAAGTGGATTCAATTGCATCTCATCAGGCCGATGATTTTTTATTTGAAAAAAGGCTGGGCATGGGACCAGTCTCCAGCATTTTTTTATCTGACCCTTGCAGCTTTGGCTTCCACCGCTCCCGTGCCATCTATCGGAAGCTCTCGTGCCATTTATCGGTACCGCGGGGATGCTTGGGATGTTTGATTTTGATATCAAATACCCTCTGGTAAACTAACAGTTTGTTGCTTGCTATTGAAAATGGCCATTTATAGTTGATTTTCCCATTAAACACGGTGATTTTCCATAGTCATGTTAGTTTACCAGAGGGTACGTGTTTGACCAAGAAAATGTGCGGGAATTTGTCAACAATGATAGGGAGATGGTCACAGACCTGAGGATGTCATCAATGGATTGGGTTGGTTCACTCAAACATGTTTTCGTCCATATGTTATTACATTTTTTTTTGGCAGGCAGGTTGAACCGCCAAGTAACTTCGATATGTATTTTTTTTCACTGGAGAACCCAGGGTTGTTATTTCAGAGTGTGTTGGTTGATGTTGAACCTACTGTGGATGGAAGAAATCCTGCACCAGTTGGTAGATGGTTATGCCATTATAATCCCATTTTTTACCGTGTTTTATAGTTACCAATAGTTACCAACTGGTGCAGGATTTTTTCCATCCACAATATGTACCATGTCGACAGTGGTTGTTAAGCCTTGTGATTGTGAACCCACATGGGTTTTCCATGCCGTGGAGTTTCCATTATCTACTAAGGCAATGAAGCTTTTTGCCCTCGTCGCAGTTGGCTCTGTCTGCACCGCCCTGGCTGTGGTCAGGGATACCCAACGCTGCTACGCTTCTGCAAAATGCTTGGTGTTGCAGATGAAGTCAGCATGTGTGCATGTGTTGGGATCAAAACTTGAGATGTTTGCATTTGAAATTCTCATTGTTTTTACAGATTGAATCTACATTTTTTGCAGGAGAACTGTCCCTTTTCGATCTGTTACCCTGGCCCTTTCTGGTGTCCTTTTCGTTAATTCTGCTGAGGCCACAGGCAAGTCCAAGTCCATTTCCGAAGGAGGCATCGGATGGGCCAGACTGGGACTATTGGCTGCTTGGAAAACCTTGGATTTTTGGTGTAGCCCTTGAAGATTAGGATTTAATTGATTTAGAATCATCAGAATTTAGGCATTTCACCTTCAAAATTTCGGAAATTAACAATAATCAACAATTCAGAGTGTCATGGTGATTTAGCCATTGCGATGGTTTTAGGAAGTATCTTCAATTGGGGAGACTGAAAAATGCCCAAACTTCGTCGATGTAGACTCCCATTCCGTCGTAACATGCATGGGTGCATCTTACAACGGAGGATAGCGTCGAGGGATACTGTCTTGGATAGTGAGTGCCAAAACCTTCGTTGTTGATGATTGTCTAAAATGGTGATTTAAACACCACAATAAAACAGCCGACTTAAATAGAATATCTCATAACTGTAAAAGGAAGTACAGGTGAACATGGCAATGATTATTGGTCACATCACATCACTTTTTTTTGATGCCATCTGTGGCTGCAGGTGCCCTGTCCAACGACAAGGGAGCCAGCCCCTGGCTGTCACTCCTGCCTGGGTCCAAGTTTTTATCCGGTACCATCCAATGGTACGAGTCACCAATTAATATGTTCATTGAATTTATTATATTATGATGATCTTATGATGATACTGTGAGGATATGTTCATGACATTGTCAATTATAATGATATTTTCATGTCATTATCATGATCTTATGGTGATCTTATGATGATACTATGATGGTATTATGATGATTTTTTGATGACATTATGATGACATGATGATGATTTTTTGATGATGTTATGCTGACATTATGATGACATTATGAATATATTATGATATTATGATGATATTATGATGATATTAAAATGATATTATGATGTTATTATGATGTTATTATGATGACACTATGATGATGTCATAGTGAAATTATGATGATATTACAATGATATTATGATGATATTACAATGATATTATGATGATATATGATATTATCATGACATTAAGATGATATTATGAGGTTATTTTCATGACATTATGATGATATTAAAATGACATTATGATTACATTATGATGATATTATGATGATAGTATGGTGATATTATCATGATATTATACTGATACTACGATGATATTATGATGACACTATGATGATATTATAATGATATTATGATGATATTATAATGATATTATGGTGATATTAATAATGATATTATCATGACATTAAGATGAAATTATGATGATGTCATGATGATATTATGATGATTTTTTGATGATGTTATAATGATCGTTTGATGACATTATGATGGTATTATGATGATATGATGATTTTTTGATGATGTTATAATGATCGTTTGATGACATTATGATGGTATTATGATGATATGATGATGATATGTTTGATGATATTATGATGATATTTTAATGATATTATCATGACATTATGATCATATTATGATGATATTATGACGCTATTATATTGATATTTTACTTTTATTAAGTTATTTTATGATGATATGAACATGATATTTTGATGATATGATAATGATATTTTCATGACATTGTGATGATATTATTATGATATTATGATGCTATTCTATTGATATTATAGTGATATTATAATGATATTATGGTGATATTATCATGACATTATGGTGAAATTGTAATGATGTTATGATGCTATTCTATTGATATCAAAAGCATATTATACAGTAATGATTTTTTTAAAATGATATTATATTAATATTATGATGACATTTTGATGACATTATGATGATATTATGATGATATTATCAGTATATTATAATGATATTTTGAGGCTATTCTATCGATATTATAATCATATTTTAACGATATTATGATGGTATTATGATGATCTTATGAAGATATTATAATGATATGTTCATGACATTATGATGATATTTTAATGTTATTATGATGATATTATGATGATATTATGATGATATTATGATGATATTATGATGATATTATGATGATATTATGATGATATTATGATGATATTATGATGATATTATGATGATATTATGATGATATTATGATGATATTATGATGATATTATGACGATAGTATGATGATATTCTGGTGATATTTTAAAAATATAATGATGATATTTTTAGTGATATTATGATGATGTTATGGTGACATTATGATGGTATTTCGAGGGTATTATGAGGATGACATTATGATGATATGAGGATGATATTGTGAGGATATTAAAATCTCATTATGAGTATATTTTGATGATATGATGATGATATTTAAAGGATATTATGATGATATTATAATGGCAATTTGCTGACATTATGATGATATTATGTTGATATTATCATTATATTGTGATGATATTTTAATGACATTATGATGATATTATGATGACATTATGAGGATATTTTGATGATATTATGATGATATCATGATGACATTATGATGGTATTATGATGATATTATGATGATATTATGATGATATTCTGATGATATTATCAGAATATTATAATGATGTTATGAGGATATTATCATGACATTATGATGATATTGAAATGACATTGTGATGATATTATGATGATATTATGCTGATATTATGATGTCTATTTGAGGATATTATGATGAAATTTTGATGATATTATGCTGTATGATGAGGAAATTTTAATGATATTTTGATGACATTTTGATGACATTATGATAATATTAGGATGATATTGTGAGGATATTACAATCTCATTATGAGTATATTTTGATGTTATGATGATGATATTGAAAGGATATTATGATGCTATTATAATGGCAATTTGCTGACATTATGCTGACATTATGATGATATTATGATGAACTTATGATGATATTATGATGATATTATGATGATATTATGATGATATTATGATGATAGTATGATGATATTATGATGATATTATGATGATATTATGATGATATTATGATGATATTATGATGATATTATGATGATATTATGATTATATTATGATGATATTATGATGATATTATGATATTATGAAGATATTGTTTCATCTTATTTTATCACATGTAAAATCCCTCTCCTTGGTCTTTCCCGATGGTTGCTCCTGTTGGTCGTTCAGGACCAAGAGTTGGGCATTGCCTGGTGAAGCTCAAGAGGAACAGAGTCAGTGACGCCCAGGTGGTTGGTGGTTGTTTAAACACAATTAATGAATGGTGGAGAATGTAGAAATGGTAGCAGAATATTTGGGAAATCTTGTGAAAAATGATCTGGTTCATGATCATTGGAGACATGGTCGGATTTTTATTGCATTCAAAGCGGCTTTGCGACATAGCAGTTCTGGCAACTTCCCATCGGATGGGATCCATCTCATCCATCCCATGGGCTTTTTTTGGAGGTAAGATATCGAAAAGAGACCCATGATAGAATTCCACACTGATATACATGGAATGTGGACAATACGTGTATACTGTATGGATAGATCATATTGATATCGAAAAGAGATCCATCCCATGTACTGCGCTTTCGACACCGAGGCAAGGGATTGGATGATTTGGCCAACAGCGTCTTAGCACTGGCCAAGAAGCCACTGAGCCAAGTTTGGAAGGGACCCCAGGGACCCCAGGGACCCCAGGGACCCCAAATGAGGATTTCCACATGATATACCCTCTGGTTATGACATAGCCATGGTTTGTCGATGGCCCTAATCGAAATAGATGGTTTACCGTTCTTAATAGCATGGTGATTTTCCATGGCTATGTTAGTCATAACCAGATGGTAATACTTCAATATACTTCATATATATATATATACCTGATATATTACAGAACTCACGGCTAGTTGCGACTGTATCCACTGGGCTTAAGACCTACTTTGGTCATTTCCCGAAGATTCAATGGTTTTCTTGCGACACGAAATGGCGGAGAGTAGATTGGTCAGACCAAAAAGTCGGACTTGATCATTGCCTAATGCTACCCAACAAGATATGGGTATGGCAGCTGAGATTAGCGCAGTTTGTTTGTATGCTGATCGATTGTTGGCAATACAAACAAGTTTTTCATGTTTCTTGGTTCCCATTTTCGTTGGTTGAAGTGCCGTTTTTGTTGGTTGGAATCCCATTGTTTGTTGGCTAATCAGCTGCATTATAAAGGGAACAATGGGACAATTCTAACATTTACTCGAAGAAACATGGGGAAAATCATGGTTTCCTGAGTTTTTTTCTTCCGGGGAATCGATCCAAAACACATGGCTCTGCCATCCGAGTCGTAAAAGCGGAGCCCCAGATGCTGAGATGAAGGTGCAGTCGGTGCAGTGGGTGCAGTGCTGCCTTTTTTGAGCACCCAAATGATAGGGCGTTTGTGATTGGAGTAACGAAACTGATTCAAGGAAGGACCTTGGTGTTTTGAGGGCATGAACCGATTGAGAGAAAAACCAACAAAGTGCGAAATATATTTTTTTCTATGAGAGACACTGACAAAAGAACCTGCTTGAATCGGCTCGATGGGTCCAGGCGGCGGTTGATAGTATCTCTCAGATCCTTTCCGACATGAAGGCGCAGCCGGAGCTGCTTCTGTCGTCGATCTGCACAGAGTTGACGACTCGAAATTGGCACCCCAGGATGCTGTGAGCACTGGCAACGTTGCAGCGCAGCAGGTGGGTGAACCGTTCTGCAAATTTTCTGCTTGAACAGGGAAGCATTGGAAAAGGACTTGGAAAAGGACTTGGAAAAGGACTTGGAAAAGGACCAACAAATCATGGATCATTTGTTGCAGATCTGCGCGAACGCAAGCTTGAACGCCCTGCAGGAGATCACCAAGAAGGAAACAGCATTGAAGAACTGCAGCATTCCAAGTGAAACGTTGGGCTGCCAAGTTTGGGTCTTTCACCGGTAAAAAAGTGATGTTTCAACATGTTTCATCCACAAAAACTGGAAATACACATGGTGCAGCTGGTGTTTTCAGATGTAACAATGATGTAACTGTTTAACTCAGCTGAAAACTCAGTTTAGCTCAGTGTACTCTTCACATTTTTGGATCAATGAAGATCCCGTTTTGTCTCGAGGAGCACGGCGGACTTTGAGGTGGATCCGAACTTTCATCCGGTGGTCGATGCAACAAAAACACATGGCAATTATAGTTTTCATAAATGATCATTATGATCATCAATGATCATCAATGATCATCAATGATCATCATGATCAACTATCAAATGCCAGCAACTAGGACAAAATACGGTAAGATGATCATGACTTGGGGTCACTCTTTCCTGAGTTTGCCATTATTTGGAGGATGGGATTGATGGGATTGTGAAGGTATGGTTGAAGTGGATACTGACCTGCAAACATCACGACATTCCCAGTTTTGGTTCATGTTGGTTTCACATATAAAAAACTTTTTTTTCCGAAACCAACTAGGAATTCATCCAAAGATGGGTGAGGGTATATGAGCAGATCTGATGTTGAAATGTCTGGGATTGTGCTTGGAATCGTTGTCCGAAATAGGCATGCATATCAACAAGCCAGTGGAAGGGTATCACGAAAGATTTCGTGCAGTGTTCATAGCGAGGTGGCCTAGGTGGCCCGTCCTGTGTGTTTTTGTCACATCGACTATAGCTGATATAGCTACTATGGCTGCAAAAGCTGCTACAAGTTCACATATATCATTTCATCATAATTTCATCATAATTTATGAATACATATGTACAATTATATTTATATGCACATATCATTTCTCCTATGGCTGTAAGTTTGTTTACCTCAAAGGCACGGAGACCGTCTCGGGATTTCCGCCCCAGGCCTCACTGCACATCACCATGAACGATGTGCTCAACTGCCGTAGCTCGGACAAAGAGGGGCCAATTGAGGGGCCGTTTAGTGGAACCAACCACACTGGACCTAGAACTCAAAGAACTTAGAACCATACGGCTGTAACGATATGTAACGATACTGTAGAACTTACAACCATAGTGATATTGAAATAGAGGGGATACACCTTATTGATTTAAGAGAATGGAATCCGTTTGCCATGTTTGGGACCTTGCCACTCAGTGGGATGTGGAAACTGTTTGTTTCCGTAGGCAGCAGAAGATACCCTCGACGGAACTTTGGCTTTCCGTGTTGGTTACCCCACAATCCAGTGGTTTATCCTCATCCTCTCCATAGAAATGTGGCAATAAAACGGCTGCCCCCCGTTTCTGGACCCAGCCAAATCATATTGTTGGTGCTATCCCATTGTATCCCCATAGAATCATAGAATGGTTGTTTTTTTTGATCCCATTGATCCACATTTTGTTGGTGTAAATCCCGTTGTATCCCATGAATATAGGTGGAATGGTTGGTAGAATCTCATTTTCTTGGGTAATTACCATATAACCATATATATATAATATGTATATATATATATATAAAGTCATATAGTAATCCCACTTTGATGGTTCTCCCTTTTTTCATTACCATAATGCCATGTCGTCCCCCATAGTCCCATCAGGTGCTGAGGAGAAGACATACTACAGTCTCTTGACGGGATGGTCGGTGAGGACGTTGGATGTGACACGGATGTTCCGAAACCGGTTTATGTATACAGAATTATGAACCATCCAATAATAACTGGTTAATAGTGGTTAATGTTTATATATATATATACACATAAATATGTACATAACTGTATATATATATATACATATATATATATGTAATATCTATACTAGTCTTTTTTATATATTCACGTTGTAGATGTCATGTATGTTCTGTATGTCGACAAATACCTGTTATTCGCATCCGCAGATTAGCCGAGGTGCCTACCAGTTCTGCATGGCAGAGGAGGCCACCCCAGTCATCCATTGATGGGATTTTAATGGAATTTTATGGATGGATTTTCTATTTGTAAACCATCCAGCTATTGAATATTATTGGAGTAGCCCCCTGACTATGGAAACTACCATGTACGACCATATGGGGTTGATGGTTGCAGCAAAGTTTCTGCAGCTTCGAGGCTCGTTGCAGCAACACTACCGAGTGCTGTGTGGATCTCATCCAGCCCAATCCCTACTGCTTGAGCCCTCCCAGCCCTCCATCGTCTGGAGCCCCAGGTTTTCCATGCATTGTTTGGTGAGTATATTGTGGGCGAAACCAGTTTGTTGGGGATCATAAACTCTCCAGGATTGTTGGGATCCAGCATTATCTTACCAGTTGCCACTATTTGTTGAAGGATGAAATCACCAACTGAATCACCCATGACTCGTGAATGTTTGAGGCCCCTGTCCTTCCAGACCGAGTGCGATGCCGCGTTGGGACTTTAGCCAATTTCGTTGGAACATAGCTGGATTCGGGAGAGTTTCCGGGTCACATCAAAAGATGGCGCAGCTCAAAAAAAATTGCTAGTGCAGAAAGAGAAGAAAGCCGAACTGCATGGTGATGTGAATTATGTGTCAGTCCCAAGACTGCCGCAGCTCCAAATCCCCCCATGTCACAACCAGCCCAAGCCAGCAGCCACCAGCCATCCAGCCATGAGGTCCCGCTGTCGAGAGAAGGATTTGGAGAACAAGTTGGCCTTTTTCGAACACAAACTGCAGGAGTACAATGATGCCGTGACTGCCTGTGATCAGTCCCGCTTGGGCCCGGAGACCGAGATCTGGATGATCCTGGGTTTGTTGGTGGTTTTGAGGGAAAACCTCGGCAAACGAGAAAAAAAATGTGGTAAACCATAAAGCCAGGTTTTGAAGCTTTAGAAACCTCTCAAAAAGGAAGTAGTGAACTGCGTGCGATGGCCGAAGCAAAAGAAAGAGAGGTTCACCAAGGTGATCAGAGGATGTCATATCTCTTCCAATCACACATGAAACATCCTAAGAATTGCCTTGGTCGGATGTCACGGGTGTATCCCTTTTCGCGGCATGGGATCCTCCAGGCTGCAACGCCTCCTACGCTTGCTCCGTGAAGCAGGCAGCTTGGAAGGTGCAGCTGTGAGACTTGCGGGATATAGTTCTGAGACAAGATGTAGTAGATATATATATATATCTATCATAGATAATACTACAGATCACATATAACAGTACTATAGAATACTATCAGATCTATATATGATGTGTGGTACTTCATAGATTTGTAGTCTCATACTTATATATATACACTTAGTATATCTAAGTATTGGATACAACTACAGCTGGATTTTACTGGCACCCCGCTCCAACAGCGCAGGAGAAGCACTCCCAGTGCAACGGCAACCAGACCACCTTCGAACAGGCGGCCATGGCCATGGCCCATGGGGCCTATTGGCCCATCGATAAGATGTTGACCGAACTGGTGACCGAACTTGGTGCCAGTGATGTTTACCATCTGGTCATGACTAACAGTTTGCCATGGAAAATCACCATGCTATTAAGAACGGTAAACCATCTATTTCGATTAGGGCCATCTTCCATGGCTATGTTAGTCATAACCAGAGGGTAATGGTTGTTAGATTACCAGAGTGTATACCACTGTATACATCTGTCTACCATATATCTTGGCTACACAATGGGTACATGATGTGGAAAGCTTGGTGAAGGGTATCGGGACATGTTTAGTGGCTGGGATATACCAAGGATACATCGTAAATATTTGGGACATTTTGATGTCAGGATTTTGCAAGTCGCAAAGTCCTTTTGCGGTCGACTTTGGGCCCCTCTTTTTCAAGACTCTTCAATAGAACTATTAATGGATGTTTCCCAGCTGGATGGTTTAATGGAAAATCCATCGAACTAAATGGATGAAAACTAGAGGTACCCCCATGACTTCGGACACCGTGAAGCTGTGAAGCTGCACAAAGCTATCCCATTGGTTTCCATCGGTTTCCATCAGGCCTACTGCGATTTGGCCGGATCGCAGGAGGCGCTTTGACGTTTTGACAAAGCTGACATGAGAAACTCCAGGGTTTTTGTCGATGAGGCATACCAAAGATGTGAAATAAATGATGTCAACTATGTTACAATCATTATTTTCCAAATAAAATTTAGTTAAAATTATGTCAACAATCCCATTTGACTGGAGTTTGATCCAATTTGGGGCTGAGCGGTTGTGAAAAAACCTGTTGCAGCTTGTCACCAAACCTGCTGGCCTTTCTAGCAAGTGAGTCTTCGACGATCCAATCAGACAGTAAGATTCCACCTTCCAGGGATCCAAAATTGGGATTCCAAAAAGGTGAAATTCACATGACTTCAGCACATCGAATAAATCGACAGAGGAAATCTGCAGATTTTCTGGTGGCTCTGGTGGCTCTGGTGGCTCAGGCTCATTGGGACACCTACTCTGGCTGCCACGATCGTAGCTTGAAGTCTTTGGAGGCGGAAGAACTGAAACAGGAGCCGCGGAGAGGATGGGGACCGGGGGATGGGGACCCATGAAATGGTTTTTTTTTGGGGAACAGGATGAAGATTTTGTGATGGAGTTTTTGGATGTTTCTTGGACAATACTTCCAGACAAGTATCGATTTTTACAGCAGTTTTTGGAGTTTTGGGTGGTGATAATCCTATGGAGATATTGCTAATTGGAGGGGCCCCATCTCTGCCGGGGGGTATAGCGAGTTTACAAATGGACTGCAACGAGCATACAAATCATCCAGTGTTCGAATATCAGAACCTATCCAGGCAAAAACAATGTAGAGTGTCTCAGGAAAAATATGTGGAATTTTCACCAACAGACAAGGGGTCATTGGACCCACGGGTGAACATTCGACCTGAAACTCGATTCTATGGTGAATATCAGGAGGGTTTGCTCACTGGCCGACGACAGGACATGGGGAATTCTGGGGTTGTGAGGAGAATGGATGCAAAATGATAAGTAAAATGATGCAAATCAAATTTTGATCCTCTTTTCCAGGGCGTTGGTCAACTTGCATGGACAGATGTTTTGGATCAGCTACTGGAACCGGGAATGAAGATAGGGATGTTGACCAAGGACACATCGAAATGCGAAGCCAAACACGAAGAAATAATGAAATTCCATGAAACATCACTCAATGATACCGGTTGATTGGATTTGATTGGCATTCCTGTTCTACCCTTTGCTGTTGAAAAACTGAATGACTTGATGATTAGAATCCCAACCAGTGCCTTTTGTCGTTTGGTACACTTGGTGCACGGTGCACAGGAATGGCGTGGCTTGAAACGTATTGAATGCCTTCTGGGTGCTTTGACCGCCGAGGCACACATTGCATCATCTCATCCCAGTCCAAGCCCTCAATGCTGACAGTTGGTGGCTGCCAGACGAAGAGTTTAAAGTGGAAGTCATCGATTTTCTCGATGCTTGGGAAAGCATCCCTGTAATCAATGGATTGTTCCAAGGAAAAGATGGCAGAGAACTATGACTTCCTCACCCATTTTGGGACCTGAATCCCCAGTATAAGGTCCCATGCGTTGGTCAAAACCCACTTTTTCCACGACGTCCAGGATCAGACCGCCGCATTGGATGCCTGCATCAAGAAGAACCACACCATTGATGCTGAAGAAGAACTGAAGCTCACGCCCCTTGATGGGATGTGAGTTATACAGTTATACAGTTATGTACACTTATACAATGTGATACAGGTAAAATCAGGTAAATATAATATATATATATACACATATGATATAGCCTACAAACTGAGGTTGTAGCAGTATAAAAAGAATTTTCACAACTCGTTCACCGGATCCAAACCTCCGGCCGAGGTATCCCACCAAGGTGGGCTCCGTGCCGTCCAAGTCTACTTGCCATGAGAAGCTGAATGCCCCTGGCACCGCGTAGCTCAGAAAATGGCTAGTGGTCTGGAACCCTCATGAATTCTGACTTTTTTGGAGTAAAACAAAAAAAATGGGATTTCGAGCCCAATGGTTCAGGGAACAAGAAACAAAAGATGTGCGAGACACTGACATCTACATGAACGCCTCACTTAACCGGTCCTGAGCTGGGCAGGTGAATTTCAAGAGCGGTAGGATGCCATGGAAATGTGGGCGGATAATCTGTGAGGGTCAGAATTGTAATCAGCCATCCTTCTTGGTGAGGGTTGTTGAGATCGTCATTTTCCTGAAAATAGCTGCAGGAGACCAGATTTTCACGGATTTCTTGTGGGTGTTTTCTGGCCACCACATCATTGCATCATTGCATCATTCCAATCCATGCAGACGAACAATTGTAATGGATGCATAATTATGGATGAATACAGACTGTCATTGCATCATTCAGCAGTTATGCCATGATAATAATACAGATTTCATCCACTTTTCATACAGTTATGGATGACAGTTGCTGACAGCTGCTGAGGTATTTCTTGAAGACCTTCTATTCCGGGGTGCCGGAAGTGCTGATGCCAACCTCTCTGACCACCTACTACTGCGTGCCTTGTCGATGATAATCAGGGAATGTGAAGCCATTGGTAAAAATGAGGCGCGCTATACTAAGCATAAAAATTAGCATTCAACAATGTGGATTGTAGTGACATGTAGTGACCATGTTGCTGCAAAAGGTGCTTGTTCTCAGTTTCACATTTTCACCCATCTGATGATAGCTTTGCTTCGGTGTTCTGGGAAGGTTCGGAACTTGAGAGAAGTTGTTTTTTGGAGCTGCTCCTGCTCCTGTACCCAGAATCAGCATTGGTTCTTGCAATGTCCGATTTTCTATCGCCAATACCAAGTTGGTATTGGGTATACCCATGTGTTACATGTATACCCACAATTATGAGTTTCATCCAGGTACCAGCAGGTATATCAATGGGGGCTAATTAAACGAACATCTGCTTCACACAAAACACAACACGACGATCAGAGATGCAGATTCTGTTTCAGATCACAATTTGGTACCCCCGTCAACTTGATTGGTTCATCGACCAAAAAAAAACAGTGGTGTTTAATACCAAGGTCTCTGGCTTGAGCACCACCTACTGCCCTGTGGCCTCCTCCTCCCTGTCCTTGTTGGCCAAGGTGGAAACCACGTGGGTTTGGTGAATATTTGAGGGAAAACCATGGGAAAACCTCACCAAATCCAGTGCTTTGTAGTTTTTTATTACCATTTTATTACCAAATCCTTACACATATATAAGTACATATATATATATATCTATATATATATATAGAGAGAGAGAGAGATACGCATGTAATAGATATCGGCACATATATCATAGAGACGGGAAATTTCACCGGAAACCTCATCGACAGGTCAACGGCCGCATGCCGGTGGTGCCGCACATCAAGTCCCGTGGCAAAGTTGGAAATTTCGCCGGAAAATTGAAGGGTTGTGCCGGTTGTGCAGCCCAAAAATGATATTGACTGATGTTGACTCCAAATCCTTGGGGATAGGAATCCTATGGAATCCTCACTTTGGGCGAAAGAAGACTTTGTGGCACTTTATAATATCAAGGAACAAAGAGCTGATGACAATGATCATCATCGCCGTCATTGCCATGATAGTTTGATGTGGACTCAAGTCCCCTTTGACTTTCACCATGGTTTTGTATACTCCTTCGTAACTTCGTCTCTTTTTGTTCCATTCGAAATCTTGAGAAATGAATTCGAAAGAGAGAATGTGAATAGAAAGAAATGAAGATGCAGAAATGAATCTGAATCGAGTGAAATGAGCTGATTCTGAGGTGATTCGAGTGTTTTTTTTGTTTCAGGTGCGTTGCGTTCTGTTGGTCGTTCGTCGTTCGAGACGTCGAGACATTTCCATCCAGGTGAGCGACGCAGGACGCGACGCAATCTGCGACCATCGCCTTCACCGAGCGAGGGAACAAGCGCTGCAGTTTTCACCGTTTTGGCGCAGGGCTGGGCCCTACGTCCTCCCAATACCGTTGAAAAAAACATATAAAAAATACCATGTAAAAAATGTAAAAAACACATGCTTAAAAAAAATATCTGATGCCCTAAGGATTGTGGATTTTTTTTTTGACTTTAGCCACAGCTGCGAATGCAGTGGGAATGCAGTTGTCTTGGGCCTCGCATCTTCAGCGTCATCTTCAGCGTCTTTTTTAAAGTTGTTATGTTTGTAATGTTTGTAATGTTTGTAATGTTTTGTTCTCCTGCATCAATGGCAGTCAAGACAGGTTGCTTTGTATTGTTTGACCATGTGTTTCAGCATTGGTGGAAACTTCATCTCCATGGAAAGTTGTGGATCTACCACAACACTGTAGCATGACTACCAGACAAATCTACTTGAAACAATCTGACTACAGCACACGATGTGTACATTTGGTGCCTGATTTCTCCATCGTCGCGCCGCATTGCGTAGAATTGGGACCTCAAAAGTGGGTGCATTTTCACCACTTTGCGAGGGGTAAAGTACCTGTCCATCTCAACTTGGCTCACAGTTCTCCAACGATTCTGGTGCCGCGGGCCGCTGCCAGCGCGGGTTGTCACCATGATCGATGAAAGGCGGACGCCAAGGGGCGAGGGGACGCCTTGGATCGTCCAAGATCTTCGATTTTGGAAAGCCAATTGTATGGGGATGGCGGGCCGTCACATTCTCATCCAATCTTTTCATAGACATATTTAGACATATTTAGACATATTGAAACATCTAAACATTGGCTTGTACGTGAGAAACTCACATCTGGTCGATTCCGCTCTAGGCAAGGCGTGCCACGACTTGTCGGGGGCCCAAGCCACTGTTGGGTTGTGAATGTGAAGAGTGGGAACTCAGCTTTCAGCCAGGTTTGAATCCATCTGGGTACAGGGGCATGCCATTTTGCAATATGACCCGTGGCCTACATTGCCTACATCCACCGTGAGTTTCGTGATCATTCCCAGGTGGTGCATAATACATTTCTGGAGTTTGACGATCAATCAAAGGAGGTGTGGAACTGCTGTGGAAAAGTGCGATGGAATCCTGGAGGGATTTGAAGTCATGATTTCGTGAAAGGCGTTTTTTTTCCCAATGATTCCAATGGTGCCAAGATGAAGGGATGCGAACGCAGAAACCGAGAAAATTATCCACGAAACACCAAGAATCAGTGGGATAGAATGGGCGACAAGGGCGACAAACGTTGATTCACACAACACAAGTGCTTCATTTTCCTGGTTATTGTGGGTAAGATGTATCCAACCGTTGTTGGTTGGACCGTCATTCCTGCTTGAAAAGTTGGGTACATCCCAGATCCACTAATTAGTCAGTTAGTCATCATATTCCCGTGAAAGCTTGTCAATTGACCATCAACCCTTGCTGGTGAACCCCCACATGTCCGGACAAAGCATGAGCCATCAGCCAACTAGATATGATCTCCATTGTTTAGTGGTAAAAAATGGTAAAACTACGTATAACCCCCGCAAATCTGATGGCAAAATACCAGCCATATCGCCAGGAAAATCGCAGGCCCCGAGCCCAAACGGTGCCCTGGCAACTGGAATACCAAAATTGGATGGAAATTCGGATCAACATCTGAATCTAGCAAATACCTATTGGATCTTATTGGTGTAAATGGGTGAACATGGGTGAACATGTTTATCCTCGGGACAGGGATAAAGAAGCATTTGGCATCATTTGGAACTGGAAGGTATTCTGAAGCATAAAATGATGGAATTTGGGACCATGAACACTCTGTACCAAGCCAACCGAGGACATCACAGAACGGAAAGCACCGCGCAAAGTGTCCTACCACGTGGATGAAGACGAGTACTATGCTTGGTAGCACTTGACTGCCAGTCCTCTGAATCATTTAGAATTTAGTGTTTCTTTCTCCGTTCTTCTTCATCATTCAGTGTTTGTTTCTCCGTTTTTGGCGGTGAAAGCCACAACTTTGTCTTGATGAGATAGGTTATGTAATATAATACATCATATAAAGACTTATAGAATTATATAGTTATATATATATATACACATATGATATACCTGTATTTTATATGATATATATATATATATATGTAATTATATATAAATACACGTACATATTACATGTGTAGTGCAACTTGTTCCGCAAGAACAAATGCTTTGTTGATGAATCTTTTGCAGTTCAAGTCGCCCAGGCGAGCGGCTCATGCGTGCGGATGCCTGGTGAAACACGGTGATTTCACACATCAAGGTAGGGATGGCAATGACAATTCAGAGTCCAAAATGCTTAACAACTGAAATCCTCCAGAATTTGTAGATGAATTGCATTGTCTGATTCCGTCCCCTTTTTTGTTAGCGACGCTCTTACTGTTGGTGACTGATCCCTATCTGAGGCACTTTGGCCTTGGGACCGTGGCCGAGGACCTGATTTTGATCAGTGAAGATGTCATTTGGGTGGTTTCAAACATACCAAGAACCAATGACATATTGTATGTTTGAAACATTTTGAAACCATCAAAGATAACTTTGACATGTAACATGTCAAATTTTTAAAGTGTTGGGCCATCAAGTTGGATCTATGAGTTCTATCCCAATGATTGGCAGGAGCTGCCTCCTGGAGTGGCAGATGCGGCCCAGGTGCCTGCACATTGGTTTGTTTCGAACAAATTGGGGGATGACATGATTGGAGAATGGGGAACTGTGGCAAAATGGGCCGATTTGTTTGAAATGAATTTCATTGTGAATTTTCATGAGAATTTAGAAGGAATGACCTTCGGAATGGGTACACAGAACTTACAAAAAAGGAATGTGTTCAACGATTTTTAGGAGCAAGCAGGCAGCGAAGGACCCGGATGTAGCATCTGATATGGCATTGAAACCAACAAAGATGGACTTGGACAACAGGTTTATAGGCGGGGCTGAAACCAAGAAAGATGATGAAATTAGCAGTTGCAAATGCCATGAAAAAACGAAAAACCGTTGTACCTGAGACCGTCCATCATCAGTCCTACCGTGTTGGGATGGTCTCGAAAAATCATCATTGTTAAAAACCATAAGCTATCTGTTTTCATAGGCCATCTATACCATAGCAAACTGTTAAACATGTTAAACAACCTGAGGGTAATGCAAAACACATAATTTGGTTTGATGGTTTATACCACCCATCTATGGTAAATTTGGGGATGGTGTATTGTTTAACTAACACAAGTTCATGCTAGTAAATGCTAGTAAATGGCACTAAATCATGGAGATTTATGATTGCTTCACTAGCATTAGGTAATGCAAATAGGTGTCCCAAAAGTTCCCCAAAATCATGGGGACTGCCCGCTGGTTGCGTCAGATGATGCGCCTCCAGCAGCAACTGCTACGAACTCAGCGAATTTTTGAAGGTTTGGGTAGAATATTGTTTTTTTAAGCACTTCAGTTGATATTCTACATCAAGACCTGTGGGACTATGGAGTTCACAACCCGTGTGGCACTGATGGAACCGGTCCCCTGGTTTTCACTGCAATCAGGTTCTGTTTCAATGTTTCTTGCTAGTACTTTCCCCATTTTCCGCCATTCCCATTAAAGACAATGCTGGGCCCACCCCAAGTGTCCACCAAGTCAAGCACATGCAGCTGGAAGCACCATGCCGTGGCCCCAGAAACAAAGAATCATGGCCCTACTGTGCCACCCCCCGAAGCTCAACATGAAAAAACCCGGAGCACATTTTGAAGTACTCCTTGATATGACCACTGCGAAAGTTCCAAATTAGATTTAGGGGGCAACAAAAAAAACTTACTAATATCTTGGATTCTGATCACTTGGGTCTAATGACTTGTGGTTGGGATAAATGGGGTAGTTCATTCATTCCAAAAATCATCCCAATACGAAACATGCCGTGGGATGCTGTGGATGAAATTCCACTTCCTCTTTCAATGTAGACCCCATCCATACCCCACCATATCCCTACCACGACAAAAAACGGGGGTGTCATGGTATAGCCAGAATCAAATAGCCAGATACAACTACATACTCTTGCAATCTCTTTCAGTGTAAGAAAAAGATGACATACTATGGATGGTTGCGAAATCCTGCACCATTTTTTTGATGGCTGAACCCCCAACAAAATAATGGGATGTTTACCACCTATCAACTGGTGGATTTTGCAACCATCCACCGTAGCTATATACTCATCATTCGCAGCCAGGGCCGCAGCGGCAGCAGCTGCCTCCCTGAATCCCTTGCTGGCACCACCTTTGCCGGGATGCCTTGAAGCAAAACAGAGTTTTTTTTGACCGGTTGGAGCATAATTATCAATATATATATATATATATATGTATACACATATAGATAGAATATATTGTATATAACATTATATCTATATACATATCTATCACTTTTTTTGTTTTAAAGATATTTACATGTGTGTCTTAATATCCCAGCTTATGTACCTTTGAAGATTTTGCAGGCCCTTGCCTCATGCCGGGTATTATCCTGGCCTTTCACCCTGGCCTGGTCTTCATCCTCAGGCCCAGAGTGAATCGGGTGCCAAGTAGTGCCATTTGATCATCGAAGGGGGGAAAATGGTGAGACTCCTTGAGCTACTTGGAGCTACCACATCTTCCAATGGGGTCCCGTTTTCTGTCAGGCTTTCCTCCCCGGAGCTTTAGCACCCCCTCTGGGAGCAGTGCCTCCGGCAGGCGGGTTTTTTGGGGGATGTGAAATGGGATGATTTTCCTTGTATCAACCACTGGAAAAAAACATCAGCGCTATTGGATTTTAAATCGAAAATTGGAAACATCAAAAGAAGAAGACAAAACACAAAGAGGATCCATCGGATCCATCGGATCCATAGTTCTTGCAGAAATTGAATTCAGAAATCCATTCGTCTGGAGAAGGCACCATTGCTCAGTTTTTGGCCCGGAAGCTCCATCGACATTTGTCTCATAGAAGATGTGCCCATAACACTTATCAATGAGTATTCCCAAATATATATATATATGTCGTTGGATCGTAGATCGCAATGCCACTGATAACGGTTCCCAC